TCTCTCTCTCTCTCTCTCTCTCTCTCTCTCTCTCTCTCTCTCTCCCCGTACAACGACAATACACCCTGATCCGAGAATAGATTTCGTCGGGGGCCGGCATCGTCCATTCCGGAGGGGAGAGCCTGCAGACGGTGACGCTGTCGGAGTTCTTGTCTGGGTTAAGGGAGAACGACGGAGGCGGGGAGTCCTCCACCTCCTTCACCTTCGACATGGAGTTCGTCGGAAGGAATCACAGTGAGTGGGGAGCCCGCTTGGGCGAGACAAGGGAGAAAACGCTAAATACTATTGGGGGTGACGATGAGGGTGCGACAAAAGCTGCTGTTGTTTTTGGTTTGCTTGTGACGATAGGGGTGAGACAGGGAGCAAGCAAAGCTGTCGTTTTGGGGTTTGAGGTTGTTGGTGGTGGCGATAAGGGCGAGACAAAGCGGAGATATGAGCAAAGCTGTTGTTTTTTTTGTTGTGTTTCACTGGTTGTGTCGATAAATGATTGTGTCGTCGCTCGTTATGGACGGTTGCTTGTTGTCGTCGATGGAGACGATGATGCCCCCCTCTGTTGCTCACCCCCCCCCTCTCATGCCCTCCAGATGAGTTGAAAAAAGACTTTTCGGTGCCCAGCGTCTTCCGCGGCTTCAACTCATACCAGTCCATGAGGATGCAAACAAGCTGGAACATGCTGTCCCTCGGCGCCTCCGGGGCGGGCCTGCCGTTCCACTCCCACGGAGAGACCTGGCTGGGCATCGCCTACGGCGCGAAGCGATGGGCAATCTATCCCCCGACGGCGTGAGAATTTTATTTTGTTCAACATGTACACGCAATCACAGGACGACTACCTGCTGAGATAAGCTTTATTTTTGAAGATATACATACAATCACAGAGCAGCGAGACTATCCGTTCGAGATATATATGGTATATTTAGGTTGGTTTAGAGCTGACGACGTGAGATTTGATTTTTTAGGGGCTTGCTTTTAGGCGGACGATGTAAGACATTTTGACAAAAAAAAATCACTGGATGGTGAGAGAAGCAAAAAGCTATGCACACACATAGAATACCCACCGCTGGTGATAATAATTTGAAACGCCAACAATGTCATCGCGCGGGGGTGTGTGTTATCTTGTGTGTGAAGTACAGGTAGGTTGACGTTAACGGGTTTCGCTTGTTTGACGTCTCTTTGGTCCGCCTGCTTTAGGATGACTCCGAACAATGGATACTCCCTACCGCTTAACCGCGGCGAGCATGTGTGGTTCATCACGTCGAGTCTCGCTGCTGCTCAGCTACCTGCATATTGATATTTTTTGATCATCTGCCGCGCCGCTGCTCTTCATGGCCACTTTTATCCGTCCCTGGTCTCGTACGGTATACGAACGCTCTCCACGCACGGTAGCCTTTCGTGTGATGGTGCGGTGTTACCGGCTATGGCTTCAACCGAGGTGCCCATGCTGCTGCTACCGCACGGCGGCGTTCATGCTCTGAAAATCTATGTACCGCTTCGGAGTCGACAGTTACATGTCGTCACGACCACACGACGGACGTCCCGCCAGCAGCAGCAGCACCACGCTCTTTATACACACTTCCATGTAGCAAAGGGGTATATACCTGCCTACCGTTGTCTGGTCATTGTGTTGTTTGTCGTCGCCGAGCTCAGGTCTCGCCCGTACATTGCGGAGAACAAGTCGGGGTGGCACCCGCTCATGGGCTCCCTGGAGTGGTTCAAAGAAGTTGGGCCGCTCATCGAGAAGACGGGGGAGACGCCTCCGATGGAGTGCATACAGGCAAGTAAAGGTACCTTTGTGCCCGCCTGTATCCATTCATTATTTGTACTCTTGACATCGGCCTCGCTGCATGTCCGAGTGGCGAAGTGGAAACTGAACCGCTTGGAAAGGCTATGGTCTGGGGCCCTGTGAGGGCGTGCAAGTGTGTGTGTGTGTGTGTGTGTGTGTTCCTATCTGCAGGACTCCCTCGTTTCTTACCCGCGGTCTGGGACCCTGGGAGCCCCCCTCCGCCGCCGACACGGTTGTTGACTTCTGTCAACAGCACCCCTCCCGTTCCCCCCCGGATTGCATTCTCGATACGACAATGTAGCGCTATTCCTATCTGCAGGACCACCTACTTTTTTACCCTGTGATGCTTGTACCCTACCCCCCCCCATTTTCTACCGCCACTTTCGACAGAACGCGGGGGATTTGATTTACGTGCCCGCGAACTGGAGGCACATGACCCTCAACATCGGGGAGAGCATTGGCGTGGGCGGCCAGGCCGTGTACAGCGGGGAGGTGACGCGAATCGACCGCTTGGTTCTTGTATTCTTGGTGTTCCGTCATAGATAACACGCTTCGTATTTTCCCCGTTTCGTGTTCCGGACATGATTGGCTGTTGTTGTTGTTGTTGTTGTTGTTGTTGTTGTTGTTTCTTGGTTTTCCGTCGTGGAAACACGCCTCCTATTGTCCCATATGGCGCGTTCCGGATATGATTGGTTGTTGTTGTTGTTCTTCTTGTTCCGTCATAGGCAACACGCCTCTTATTTTCCCATGCCGTGTTCTGTACGTGCGCTTGAACTGCCTTGTGGCAAGGGAAAACCCGTGCCGTATTCTGGATCGGCCCACGGTAGCAGAGGGAGTTTGCTGATGACCCGAAGACATCGTTATTTCTTTTTTATGTGTTGGAAGACCACAGCAGCAACAACAGCAACACATGCATAAGAATAGCAACAGCAACGACAGCTACCACCACCATCACCACAACGCAGTCAACGAGGAACATTCCTTCTTTTTTTTTTAACGTACCCACTACTGCAATGAACGATGTCGTGTGCTTTTTTTTTCTGCTCTCAGGCGCGCTTGCAAGACGGGCTCGAGCTGCTGCAGCAGAGACCCGGCGATCCCGAGCTGCTTCACGCCATCGGTGTCGGCTTGGCACACCGGGGGATCTCGGCGCTCGAGTACGAGGTGAGATGGTTTGGGCGGAAGCACTTTGTCTTGTTGCTGTCATATGTGTACCCCTCCCTGCCCTACTCATCATCCCGCTTTTCACCCTCCCGCTTTACACCATCCCGCTTTTCCCCGTCCCGCTTGTCTTCGTCCCGCTTTTCACCATCCCGCTTTTCACCGTCCCGCTTTACACCGTCCCGCTTTTCACCGTCCCGCTTTTCACCGTCCCGCTTTTCACCGTCCCGCTTTTCACCATCGCGCATTACCGCGCAAGGAATGCATCGCATCATGGTTGGTGTGTTTGATGCTATCGGTGTGAAATTGATCAAGAAAACCAGGAATAAAATGGTGATGTTATCGTTCCTTGCTGTTGTCGATAAACGTGCTTCCCCCGCTCTTCCCCTACCCATGCGCCACGCTTTACGGTCAGTGATCCCCCCTCCCCCCTCAAACCCTGCGG